AAAAAAAAAAAACTAATAATAAATAAATAAATAAATAAATAAATACAAAGACTTACAAAACTATTGGCACAAGAGTGAAAAACTTTTTGGTTGCTGTAAAATGCTGCCCGTAATCAATCTGCTCCCACTGCGTCATAAACCTCTCCTTGCCCTGATCTGACGTCTCCCAAGGAGTACCCTTTGTGATGTGCAGTGTGAAGAACATGATCTGGAAGAAAAAAAGGACAAATGCTTATAATCAGAACCAAAGACATGATAAGGAAAGAGGTATCATTATATGAGCTGTGCCATGTGTTCAAAGTTACAATTATAGTAGGTTTATCATAGACTGGCTTAAAGTATTTATTTAGACTGCAGTTAGATTCGGATATTGTTCTATGTAGCTGGGTAGATCCAATTCTGCAGGGGATTCTCACTGAAGTTCTGTTGTGACTTCTAGCTATTTTCAATGTAAAATGTTGGATTAAAGGATAAATTATACAGCAGAAGTGCATTAACTTTTTACAGCAATTTAGTAAGATGATGATTATCTTTGCAATTGGCAAATATTATCAATCTTTCAGATTCGTAATTTTATAATCACAAAATTATATTTGTGATGCTTTTACAACATAGAAAAGGACCATCACAGCAAAACTTTCTTCTTAATTTTGTTATTTGTTTCTCAATAATAATGTTTCAATTTCAAGAAATTATTACTTAAAAATGATATCTGTAAAATTCACAATTTTCCCCCTATTGAAAAGATATTTCTCTTCTAACATATAGAACAAGTGAACATAAACCCTTCTCTTTATGAGTTTTTTTGTCTCACAGTAAAGCTGCCCATGACAACTCTGCTTATTTTCAGAATACTCACTATGTTGTGTATGACATTCGTGCATGTCCAAACCCAGGCCACAGTGAAGAAGGGAAAGCTGAGCAATAAAAAGTGAAGAACAGAAATCAGTAGGATGTATGTCAGCCACATTCCTTTGCTGTTCAGATAGGAGTGGGTGGGGTTTTGTTCACTGGTGGCCGTGCCCACGTTCATCTTGGAGACTGATCTCCGCTTCTGAAAATAAAAAGGAGTCTATTTTAAGTCAACTTGTATGAAATTGATAAAATACGACTTCAAATTATTTATTTATTCTTTTTATTATCATTTCTTTTGGTCAGAATTAAAAAGGAAATACTGGGTTTATTTTTATACTAGTAAACCATAATTCTTCTTGCAATAAAGAAATATAAATTTAAGTTTTACAGAAACTATCATACGAGTGAACCTTCAACTCACTCACTGGCAACACTGACCATCAAAAAATTTACCATTATTCCATTAAAGCAGATTGCTTAAATCCACTCAGAATTCATTAAAAACACTTATTAATTGGGACTGTTTCATATCACTGTTAACACATCTTTTCACATAATACAATTATTCTACATTGTAGCTGTCATCGATCTGCAGGTGCAACGTTGCATGAAACTTTGAAAGGCCGTATACATCATGCAGTAGCTACTACAATGTTTTCATTTGTTTGCTGCGCAAATAATTCGACGTGGCTTGGAATCTGCTCGTTGTTCCGAGACATAATTTAATGCCATTTCAGCTACAGAGCGTTGGCAATTTTCCCAGTTTGCTTGATACAGTAGAAGTATTGTTAGGCGTCCACCCAACTTACGTGTCAATAAAGACTGCGGGGAAGTTTCCGACTGACACCGACAACCTAAATTTTGTCATCATATTTTTAGTGGCATCAGAACTCAGAGACTTCATATTACGCCGCTATAAAGCACGTTACATTAAGAGATTATGACGTCGTCCTATCAACGACAATACATTAAATCTAGATCAATAATTTCTCACCTATCTCAGAAATAAGTTTCTTCTGACTTGTCAACACGATCTTGAGATTGTCTTGTTGTATCCCGCATGCGTAGTTCTGTCATCGCGACTTCCTTTACGTCACTTCCTACATGCTTCCCGCTGTATTCAGATTATAAACAACACTGGTTGCACTTTTTCTCGATGTTCGTGCTGCATTTCATGTGCTTTTTATGCAGTTTAAGACATGGAAAGCAGACTTAAGCAGCTTCCAGCGTCTACGGTGCGTCTGATTGGCAGTGGTCAAGTTATAACTTCTGTGTACAGTGTAGTTAAAGAGCTCGTGGAAAATGCATTGGATGCAAAGGCAACTGCGGTGGAAATTAAACTTGTGAGTGCTCATTATAATATTATGTCGTTTGATTTGTTGGTTTTATTTAACTTTTCGTTTTTGAAGCATTCTCACAATTTTTTCAATCTTTTGTACACTTTGAAACAAAAATAAGTAACCATAATGATTGATGATTCATAGTAATTTAACAGTACTACTAATAGTTATTATTTTAAAAGTTACAGTGTATTTTATGGATTTATGTATTTTGTCTTCCCTACCCATCCCAACTAGGTCATTTATTAATCAGTGAATTAACAGTTATGAATATATTGATGTGTCATAAAGCATCAATATGATAAATAATTCAGTTCAATATTAAAACAGATCCCTATCCTTTTGCAGGAAAAGTTTGGTCTTGAAAAGATAGAAGTCCGTGACAATGGGCGTGGTGTCCAGAAATCAGATGTTCCTCACATGGGTCAGAGACATTTCACCTCCAAGATAACTGGTCAGCAGGATTTGGACAACTTGGACATGTATGGGTTCCGCGGCGAGGCCTTAGGTAAAAAAAAAATTAATCAGATAAAATGGACTCTTTATAATTCACATAGGTACATGTGTGATTCTTGTTTCATTAGATATCAAGTTAAGGCCATGAAGAAATACAGTTCCAAGTGTCACCAGTAATACAATGTAGTCAGAGTTTCAGAGATTAAATACTAGGAACTTCCTTGTTTATGTATCTCGTATTTTAATTATCAGTAAGGCCAGGGATCTTGGGGGGGGGGGGTTGTTTAGGTATTGGCAACTGTTTCTGCTTAGGGCCAGTAGTTTCGTAGGTCCTGGTGTCCCTATGAGTAAGTAGCTTCAGCTATTCATTTTGTTTATTACAATTATTTTTGGCACAGACTACAAAAGAATGATATATGTACAAGTACAGGCCCGTAGCCAGGGGGGGTTCGGGGGGTTCGAAAGAACCCCCCTTTTTGCTGGAAAAAGGTCCACTCGGGGTAAAATTTGACCTAGGTATTATGACCTAGGTATTAGGGGATTATATGGTAAAAGGTCCACTTTTTCAGAAAAAAGAGCCCCCCCTTTGAAATCGCTGGTTATGGGCCTGAAGTATTAGGTACCTTAATCTTCCTGTATCTCAGTACATATCTCAGAACTTTTTGTTGTGTTTCCAGCTTCTCTGTGTGCAGTGTCCGAGGTTGCAGTGACCACTAAAACAATCCAAGATGAGGTCAGCACTGTATACACACTGGACCATAGTGGACATGTCTTAAGTGAAAGAGCCTCACATCTTGGACAAGGTGAGAGTTAATGGTGAGCATGTATACATTGTTCACACATAGGCATGCATGCACACACGCACACACACACATACAGTTGTTTGCATCAGGTTACAAAGTGGACAAAATGTGTCAACTCTCATTTTTTAATGGAATTCTTAATTTGGATAATTTGAAATTATGATAAGTTGTACATTTAATTTAATGAAATATATTTTTGCCCAATTTTGTTTTAAATAAACAGAGACAATTGAGAAATAGACAAAAGTAATCAATTATTTATTATTTTAGCCACTTTCTAGCCAAAGCAAATTATTTTATAAGCAGTTGGTCAAGTTTATATATACTATTATTAAATTCAATGAATAATCAGGGGAACCCAAGCCTGAACAAAGAGATTAAAAAAAATAATAATAACAAGAGAGAGGAAAGATTCTAGCTTATATTCTTTTTTTCCAGGCACTACAATTTTGGCCTGCAATCTCTTCAAAAACCTCCCTGTTCGTAAGCAGTATTACAACAGTGTTAACAAGAAAAAAGAAGAACTGAAGAAAGTGGAAGATCTAATTATTTCATTTGGCATTATTCGACCAGATGTGAGAATAGCACTACGCCATAATAAAGATGTTGTTTGGCAGAAAAATGTAGTGACTGATCATCGCACTGTTTTATTGCAATGTTTGGGGACCACAGTTATGAAGTCCATGGAGCACATTGTTTGGCATCAGGATGCAGAAAACCAGGTATCAGATTGAGTGAAAGCGTGAATACTAGTAGTTTGAGTAACAGATCTGATTTTTAGTTGTTTCACTCCATACCAGTATAATTTTGTCAAACACCTGGTAAAAATTCTAAAAGTTGTTCAAATAGTAGGCACTGCTTCTTCTATGCCCCAGTACATTCTTAGATATTCATATCCTAAATGTGCCAGTAGACTTCATGTTTTTGTCTCTTTCTGTTTCAGCTGTTACATTATATTAAGCTAGTTCCGTAATTATTTTTTGATGTTGTCTTACAGATGGACATTGAAGCATATCTTCCTAAATCAGATTCCAGCCTTCATGTCACCAGTAGAGCCACCAGTGACCGTTTCTTCCTTTATGTCAATAAAAGACCTGTAGTATTGAAAGATGTGGAGAAAGTAAGTTCTTTTTTGATAAAATGAAAAAAATAGTGCATGCACTGACTGGGAATGTAAATTATGTTGAGGGGGAAAAGCATTGTTGGATGAAATTTTTAAAAAGGTGCATGCACTGGTAGTTTAAAAGGTGTCGCAACAATTTAATTTAGAGAGCACACACTTGTCAGAAATATCTTTACCCAGAAGAACAGCCATAAGTATAAAAAATATTAATTTGTGTCTTTCAATTTTTAGAAAATAGGCATTTAATCTACTAGGCCACTGAAAAGTATTTTTATAAGTCAAAATTTACAAGTTCAAGTGTGTAGATAATGTGGAATTAATCTAAGGCAGCCATTCAAATTTTCACTCTTCTGTTCAGACTGCAAATTAAATTTTTACACATTTGCCTTCAAACCCCTTGCTGTACATGGTTGTCTCAGATCACTGGTTTAAGTTTCTGTCAGAAAAAATAGAGTATTTTCCATGAGACAAGAAAACTAATTTAATTAATTGTTTGTAAACAATGTGTTGAAAACACTGTGGATTAGATTTCTTGTCTTATTACCAGCTCATCAGCAATGGGTAGAACACTTTTACATGTGCTTAAACGATATTATTCTGCATTTTTCATATATATATATTTCAGCTGGTCAGGAAGTACTACACAGCAGGCAGTGGGTGCGAGGGAAGCAGGTGCCCTATTGCTTTCCTCAGTCTCACTGTACCACCAAGTCAACTGGATGTCAATGTGGATCCTAATAAAACCAAGGTCCTGCTACATCAGAAGGTAGGTCATACATTATAGTAGTAGAATTTTATTATTACTGTATGTATGCAATATTGTACAGTGAGCAGAACACATGTGTAGAAATATGTAATATCAAATTGGCAAAAGAACAAATAGAAAAACATAATACCAAAATGACAAAAAAAATAATAAAAATAAAATTAGAACATACATTCAGAAAGTGTCACATTCCTTCACTTATTCTCAGAATACCATAAACAACTTAACAAACTTCTTTTGTTGAATTTCCCAAAAATTATTCGAATGAATTCCTGAAAACATCAGTTTGTTTATTTTGATGAATATTTATTATGTTTTATTCTCCTCTTCTTCTTCAAGCATCATTCATTGAATGATTTTCATCCCAAGTTAGTTCTTTGAAATATCTGTGTTTTTAGGACGATGTTTGTGAATTGTTGAAGAAACTGTTAGAGCAGACCTATGGTCCATTGAGTAGTAAAGAATCATCACAGGGAGCTGGTTCTGAAGCACAGGGAACTGGTCCAAAAATGGTGGATACAGAAAGTAGCAAAGAAACGAACCCTGAGTTTACAATTTCAACTGATAAAGATAATTTTACTCTGAATAATGGTCAGAAAGAAGACCCCTGTACAACTGACCATGAAAATGGAAATTGTGTTTCAAATGGTAAAAGAAGACCCATGATGCACGATGAGGAGCAGTATCAAATTGAATTCCTCAGTGGTGCAGATGATTTAGGAAAGGATAAAGAGAAGTCATCAGTTGACCCTGTAGTAAATCTAAACAGTCTCCCAGAGTTTTATAACAATTGTGAATCTGAGGATATTCTCTCAACTCAAAAGCCAAATTTTAATCTCATTGGAGAAGAATTTTCTGATTTGATTCCACAGACACAGATGGCAACCAATCAGAATGACTTGGAAGAAGTGTCAAATACATCGACGAATCAGACAAGTACTATTTTAAGGGATTCCTTCAGTATGAGAAAAGATAACATTGGTCCAGAATCTTCCATGTCAGAACATAATACAGTCAAATCTACCAATCAGAATAATGGTCTCAGCGAGGAATTAGCCTATGGAAGAACAGATGACATTGTTTCAAATACCACTTCACTGAACACAGTTTCAGCAGAGGAAAACGCCAATCAGCAATCTGATTCAGGATCAGAAGATGACTGGAATGATGACAGCTTCTTTGATAATCTTTTAAAAAACAACAAAAATTCTGACACTACTGACTCTCAGGCTTCAGAAAAAGCTTTTGACTTTAAAACGCCATCTCCCACATTGGGATCAGCTGAAAGGTCAAAGGTCAACTTAGAGTCAGACTCAGAAAACAGACAGGACAAAGTCAACAATTTTTCAAGTAAGAAATGCCCTGAGTCCATTGATGTTGACCAGAATAGTGGACAGAGCTTGATTAATATGGAAGATTGGAGTAAAGGCAGAGGTCTTGAGGGAGGTATTCTACAGGTGAGTCTAATCTATAAACTTTCGAGGCTAAATTTAAAGTTTGCACCAAATTTGTTGCAAACTTAAATGCAAGAAACTTCTTGCAGGTTGTCGCAAGAAGAATTACAGTTGCTGCAAATATGCAGTAAGGACTCTTGCTGAAGGCAAAAAGATTAACTGAATGACACACCTCTTCAAGCAGGTTAGGGGGTAATTAACTTTAGTGTTCTTTCAGTCATGCTAAAAAGAAAATTTAAAATGTATCCAGAAGCTAATCACACGTGAAAGATAATCACCAACTAGGTGCTTGAGGAGGCAAGTCATTAATCTGATTGCATTCAACAAGAGTCCCTGTGTAGTAAGATCAATCTACCTAGCAGAATAGTTTCATTGGGAAGGCAACCATAGACATTTGTTGTATAATTTCAGTAATTTGTATCTTTCAGCCTGTAACTTTGCTACAAGCACCAACTCTGTCTGCTTCAAAGAAATCCCTGAACATGTCCAGACTTAGTGCCAGTCCAGTATTGTCCAGTCAGTCAGTTAAGAGAGCAAGTTCCACTAATGGCTCTAAACTTTTGGTGAGATATACCTTTTATCTTTCAGCTAGTCAGCCTTTTTCTTTTTCTTCTTTCTTTTGTCTATTTCATATTTGATGTCCAGAGTGTATGCTTCCTTCAGAAGCATGTTGCTAAATCATTTAAGATATTGTTTAGTAAACTCTGAAATGCAGTTTTTCTATGTATGAGAAGATGGTTTGAGCAAAGCTCAATTGTATTTGAGTCATATGGCTAATATCAGCACCTTATCCTTTTTAATCAACATTTTAAACAGCTGGAGACTTTGCTCTTCATTCATATATTCCAAGAATGTTTGCACTTAGTACAGATTTGAAAAAAAAAAACATAGAATTGCTATAATATGCAAACTGCTATAAAATATCATATCAAGACAACTTTTTAATTAATTAATTAATTAATGAGTGTGTTTATTAATTCAGCATAGTGTCCTTGTATGTGTTAGAAGCTTTTGCAAACAGTTCATTTGTTTTTCCATCCTTATCTAATTTTCCATTTATTTCCATATTTTTCAGACAGGACAGCAGACGCTGTATGACCTCATCGATAGCCAGCCAATCAAAATGCAGAGACTGGAAGGAGAACGGCCCAAAACCAAGAAGAGGAAGACCAAGGAGGCAAATGTACGTTTCTGTGTGTGTGTGTGTGTGTGTGTGTGTGTGTGTGCACGTGTGTGTGCATGTGTGTCACTTCTCAGGGTTTAAACCTCTGGTTTCAAACTTTTAGTTGGTTCTACTTTTAGTTCATAACTCCTCTATGCAAAATGAGAAACAGAACAGAAACCTCAATGCTCGTAACTTTAATTGGAGTTTGAAAGAGTGACGAGGCAAGGTAAAGAAAGCTTTAACACAATTCTAATAATGCTCCTTTTTTTCTAGGAGAAAAATGATAATTTTCCCCAGAGAAAAGTTGTCACGGTGAATGTCACCATCCAGACACTGAAGAAAAGATTAAACAGCTACCATAATATTGTGTCACAGCCAGATGCAACATTTGAAACACCCTATGTGATTGGTCCACTGAAGTCACATGGGGTGTGGATGTGTCGTCATGGGAACAGTATTGCAATATTTAACCATTACAGAGCACAGGAAGTGATTTTGTTTCAGAGACTTCTTGAAACTTTTAACTTTGAAATGGAATCTTTGGAACAGCCTATAGAAATAACAGAAAAGTAAGTCATGCAGATTTTTCTCCACTTTCTTGAAGTTCCCTACATTTTTCAAGTACTCGATCCCTTTCCGCTCCTCAGCCCACCACCAATTATTTATAAACACAATGTAAATGTTAGCAATTGAAAGTTTCTGAATCAAGCGATGACTTCAGTCAGCTTTTCTTTTACAATCATGATGTGTATAGAATATAGTTCATTGCATCAGAATTAATTTGCTGTTTTGTTTTCACATATTTTTACTTAATGCATATCCTTTCTATCAGCATGTTTCCAAGCAGAGCATTATGGGATGTGTTACTCTCCATGCAGCAGACCCTCAAGCCCCCAGATCCACATGTACACCTTACAGACAAACTGTTGACAGCCAATGGTTTTGATATCCGAATGTATGGTGAGTGTTGCAATCATATTAGATATGACTGCTAGTCCTGGGCCAGTCATTTTACCAAATTTTGAATATGGTAATCTCAGTAAATTCAATCTTTTCTAAAGGGGAAAATTTGAATTTTACAGATACTGTATTTTTAAGTCATAGTTAATTAGAATTAGAGCATGAAGACTATGAGAAGACCATGTGTGTTATTACCCATTTTGTGTACCTAGCCCAGCTGGTGGTACTTGCCCAGTAGGCATTATTGCCTCTCTGATCCTCTTATTTATTTTATCACCACAGAAGATGACGATGGCTCGAAGAAAGTCCACATTTACAAAATGGCAACATGTCTACCATTCTATGGTGTTCAGGACTTGACAGAGATACTACACATGGTCAGCCGACTGTCAGACAATGGATATCATTCTCCAAATCACCATGGTGGACATTCACTAGATCAGTGCAGGCCACAGAAAGTGAGGCACTTTTTACAGGTATGAATTTTTGTTATTATTTTGGGAATAACTCAATCTTTTCAATGGGGGGAAATTGTGAATTTTACAGATTCTGTATTTCTTAAATCATTTTAAATTCTTAAAAATTGAGTGTTGGTAACACATTTAAAAAGCAGGCTACCTAATAGTTCTATTCCATACAGTAAAAGCATCATAAATGCTAAGTGGAAATATATTTTCAGTTGTTGTAAAATTATGTATTTGAAAGGATGATAATTTTCCCCCATTGAAAAAGTTTTGTCATTACCATAATTTTGCTGAGCCACTGTTTAGAG